CTTGTGGTCACCGGTGAGCTCAGACACATACACACAGAGCAGAAGCGAGCCCTGCCTGCGCTCAGCGGCATTGAGTGTGGGCTCCGGTGCAGATGCTGCGGGGATTGCTGCTTCGCTGTCTAACTCCCATCTGCTGCACCTCGGCCGAGGAGCCTGTGCCCTTCGGCTTCACCTGATCTGCTGCCTCCTCCTCCTTCCTCCTCCTCGCAATGTGCTTGCTGGGACGGTCCTGTGACCTGAAGGGAGCTGTGATCCTGGAAGCTGGAAGGACGAAAGGAAAGGTGAGTGCAGCCCAGATCTGAGTAGGTTTGGGACAGGGTCCTTCCTTGCATGGTGCCTCTGCTCCCACTTGCAGCTGAGATGGTGCAGGGAAAGACTGTGGTAGGGGATATGATATGATATGATATGATATGATATGATATGATATGATATGATATGATATGATATGATATGATGATATGATTGATATGATATCCCGAGCCTTTGGGGAAGCCTGTGACTCTCTTGCAGGTCTGAGTTAGTCCACCAGACACTAGGACCAGCACAGAGTCCATGCCCAGAAAGAGGGACAATATCCCCCTACTTTCACCAGCAGTGAGTCATTTCAGGAGAGATGAGGCAGGCAGAAATGGCTGTCTGTAGGGGGGGGCTCTGATGTCTTGTGCTTCCCTTCTTCTGGGGACTGCACTGACACATGTTGGCAGCAGCAGCCCATCTGCAGTGCTGGGATGTGAGGATGTGGCAGAGTTGGTGTTGAGGGTCTGGTCCTAGACACTCGGTCAAGTCTCCTTGGCTGAGCATCCCTGCATGAGTACAAACCTGGGAGAGGGGACCGGGCTTGCCTGGAACCCTGGATGGGAAGGGGGGGCTGCAGGGCAGCTCACACACTGTCTGTGCCTGTCATCCCCATGCAGCACGTGCAAGTCGTGGGCATGGGGACCCCACCTGGCTCACATCACGTGTGGGTTTGGTGGTCACAAAGTGTAAAGGTGGCTGTAACCAGGGTGTTTAGCCGCATGGTCTGTGACCAGAAGGGGTGGCCATGGCAAAGGAGACAGCAGGAAAGGACTTGACCCTGCATGCAGAGGACGCAGGACATCCCACTCCATCTTCTGCAGGGAAGAGGTGGTCCCAACATGACAGCATCACATTCCAGCGTGTCCCATCTGGTCTCGCAGAGGATTTATGGCTGCTGCGTCCTGGGAACAGACAGAGGCACACAGGGTGGGTGTTGGGGACTGATCCTGCTGAGAGCAGGCCAAGAAACAGCCTGGTGTAGTGATAGGGATCCTGCTACAACCCAGGTTTCTGGGTGCCAGAGGGTGACATCTCCCACTGCTCTGACAGCTGCACAGGAGGCTCCATGGTGTGTGCCTGCAGTTCCACACACCCTCTGCTAAAATGCTTTTTCACCCAAATCAGCAGCTCTAAGTGTGTCATTGAAGCCTCAGATGGGTGTTGCACCCCTGCAATGGCACGCGTTCAATGAATCCTTCCTGTCAGGTGATGGGCTTCATCCCTTTTGGTCAGCCTCTGCCCAGAGCAGCCTCACTGCCAGGGCAGGGGCTGGCAGTCTCCTTCCCAGGGGTGCATGGGTTGAGTCTTTGCTCCCCGACTCTTCCTGCTCAGCCAAAGTAATGCCAAGGTCAGATCATCTGGCATAAATCAGCCTGGCTTTGTTAATGTCACTCAAACTCTGCCCACGTACCTTGGGTGGGGAGCAGCCTCCATCTCCACAGGCAAGAAACTGTCTAGAAATGTTCTGCACAAAGGCTGAATTTAGTCCTTGGTTACAGCACAGGCTCTTGCACCTTCAAAGCCTTCCTCACCATGTTGCTGGGTTTGGATTTGTGTCAGGGTGATTGCAGGGCCAGCTGCTGTTGGGAAAGTCCTGCTGAAGCTCAGGAGAGAAGGGCAGGCAGCCCTCCATCTGTCGTGGCCAGGGAGGGCAAATGTGGTCCTGCTGTCTGAACTGCTCTGAACTGGGGCTGATGCTGTCCAGCCCTTCCCGTCCTCAGCCCTGCATCCTTCCGCCTACTTTGGTAGCCCAGGTATCCTCATCCCTGGGGAGCAAAGCAGGCAGAAAGTGTTCCCAGTGAAAATGGGTGATTTTCTGCTCATATAGGTCCCTGTACTGGTTATGGCCAGGCCAAGCAAGAACCAGCAGCTGGTGCCTGGCAGGAACCAGACTGACCCTAGTCTTCCTCACTGGGCTGTTTCTATGTGTGTCCTTTCATGCCTCTTGTCATACACCATTTACCTGTCCTCTTGCAGATGGTGTGACTGGACTCTGAATGTGCTGGGGACCCGTTTTTGGCATTTAATGTTGTATTTCTTGGGAGACCCAAGCACTCGGAGCAGGCAGGTGGACTGTGTATTCAATCTCGGCTCCTCTTTGCTGACAGTGAGGAGAGCCAGCACTTTTTAAGCAGACAGGTAACTGAGAATTGGTTTCTCAGGCAGGAGGAGCTCACGTCACTCTGGCTCTCTTGAGTCCTTTTCTAAATCTGGAAACAAAGCGCTGGCAAGTAGGTTCCATGTTTGGTCACCAGCTCCCCTCCCACGTGCGGGCAGGTAGGATGCGGATGTGGAAAACCACCGACACAATTAGCAGCGGGCTGTGTTTCGCTTTGGCAGGCAGCTTCTTGGAGCCGCGGGGCCGGCGTGTGGAGGAGCCTGGCGTGCAGCCCCAGCTCTGCTGCTCGGCACAGGCACCGTGGGTCTTCCACGGCACTGGAGACCTGAGCACTATTCCCAGCAGGAAATGTCATTTCGAGAGCTGCAGGGCCAACCTGCTCACCGCTGTGTAATGCTGCTCTACCCTAGTTGGTGCTCTTATGCCTGCAAGGGATTAGGAGAATCATCCCCTTCCCTTCTGTAGCCAGTGGCTCAAGGGGGTGATCTGTAATTTTTGAAACTAGGAGGAGTAATTAATGTGCTTCTCTGGCCCAGGTCCTGGCACACCAGGAGGCACATCCCATTTCTGCCTGTAGAAGTAAAGCCCCGTTAGTCCACAGACAGATGTCTGATGTTTGCTGCAGGCTCTTAGGGCTGGGGCATGGCAGCATCCTTCCTTTGCTCCCCACTCTGTACCAGGGGTGCTGAGCACCTCCAGGAAATCATCCTGTGCCTGGCCAGGGGTGACACTGTGGGTGCAAGAGGGAGGGCAGGAACAACCTGTGGGCAGCACTGCTGCCATCAGTGTGGGCTGCTGAGGGGGAAATGGTTTGCTGACTTTAGTAGGCTGACTTTAGTAACCTCTAGTGCACCCCAGGGCAGTCACCTCAGAGGAAAGGGCACGTCCATTGTCACACCTGTATCCACATGCTGCAGAGATGCGATTCCAAGGTTGGTATCAGGCATCAAGTTGAGCAAGAGGAGAGTTGACATCTCCTCCCCTCTCCTGGCTCCAGACCAAACTGCCTAACACCTGTGCAAGCAGAGGCAGGGTCCTGCAGAAGGACCACTGTCCTCGCCTCCCTTGTCCTCTCCGCTTTTGACCATGGCTGGGAGCTGCCCCCATGGTGCTGCTGCTCGGCGGACATCCGCCTCAGTGGCTCAGTGCCAGGCCTTGTTATCCAGCCTCAGGGCCAGAAATAAAGGCCACACGGGTCTGGGGTGGGTTTTGAAAACTTCGCGTGCTGCAGGAAACTTTTAATGAGCTTCTGAAAGTCGCCGACAGCAGGATGCTCTCGGGGTGTGAGTGGTGTGTGTCAGGGGCATTCCTGCGCGTGTCTGACCATCTTCCCCTGCAGCTGCAGAGCTGTTGGGTTTGATGATGCATATTTACAGATTTAGAACCTACCTAGACAGAGTTAAGTCCTAAATCTGCAAATTAAATAGAGCAAATCCTAAATAGAGCAGGCATGAGCACAAGTGTGGGCTGATGGCCTGACTGTGCTGGGAGGGACACGGAGGACTGACAGGACTGTTGTTATTGCTGCCTGTGCTGGTTTGGGGGACACTGGAGATGGGCTCCCTGTTATCAGCCATAAATGTGGGTATTTCAGGGAAATCATAACAATCAGAATTATGGGCTGTTTTTTTCCATCCCTAAAGGCAAGAAGAGAGGGCAAAACCTGCAGGCTGGGAAAGCCTCAATCTAGAAATGCTGAAAGTGGTGTTGCAGATCACTCAGGCTGTAAATACAGGCAGCACAGTCCTCTGTATGGGAAGATGGGAGGGGGCAACGCACTGGGGGAGATGCTGCCTCGCCATGGGCACTGGGGGGGCAGGACCACGAGGTGCTGGAGCCGTGGGCTGGGAGGGACCCAATCGTGGGGCTGATCGCTACAGCTGAGCATTTTGCATAGAAGATGCTGGTGTCTCCTCTGCTCCCCTGTGCCTGCCCCACGCTGGCTCCCTGGCCTGCTTGTAGTCATGTCACAGGCAAATGTCCCTTCCTTCCTCTTCAAGTTTTAGGATTTTTTTTTTTCTCTTTCTTTGGAGAGAACAATGCTTGAGGGCAAGGGAAGCTGTCCGGCTCCAGGCTGGCTTCCCTCTGCAGTGTGGCCGGCTCCTGAGCTTTCCCTGGGGTTTGTTTCTCTGGAATGCTAGATCAGGATGGCAGCAGATCAGAACATCAAGCATAGAAACCTCATGGAAATTTGGGCTCATTTTTTTTTTCTTCTTCTGCTGGTTGCACTTTGCATTTCAAACTCAGTTCGACTTAACTTGAACATTTCTTCTTTAGATCGTGGGGAGGATGAAGTTCCTGATCCTGCCCTGCTTGGTGATGCTGATGCTCATCTCTGAGAGGCTCCTTGCTGTGGGAGGCTTTGGGGGCCAAAGCGTTCAGATGGGTTCAGCTTTCTTCAGCAAAACACAGCCCCTCAGACATGCTGTGCTCACCCTTAGGGCTCTGCCTCCCTGCCGGACACCCTCCATGCCAGGGTCCCCGGCCCACAGTGTCCTGGTGGCTTTGCACTCCTCTCCAAGGTTCAGGCTGATGCTGATCTCCACCACCAGCCTGAGCCAGTGTGCTCTATTTTTTCTCACAGGGGAGACACCGGACCCAAGGCCATGCCCGTGTGGAGTGAGGAGCAGCTGCGCACTCACCCCATTGCTGCAGACGCCCTGCGGCCACTGTGCCTGCCTCGTGCTGCAGCCTCAGCTCGGCCATGGAGAGCACAGGTGGGTGATGCTGAGCCTCCTGGGGTGCTGGGGCAGGGGATCCCAACCAAATGAACCCACCGGATCTGCTGCCTTCTGCCTTGATTACCCTCTGATAAAATATAAGTCTATCTAAGGAGGATTTGTGGCCACTGGGCAGAACTTGCTCTTCGCAAGGTGTTGGCAGACCATGATGGAGAGATGGGGAATGAGGCACAAAGCAACTGAGATGCAGCCAAAAGATTTGCTTCAGAGGGATACTTTGAAAGCACCAGGTCTGGCAACCATTCACGTCTGAATTTTAAAGCAGGTTTATGTTTTACTGTATTTTTGGTGTCCATTTTTTTCCCCATGTGTGTTTTATTTTCACACTGTTTCACAAGGTGATATTGGTCTCCTGGCACCCTGAGGTCAGGATATCACTACTGAAATGTTTTATTTCATTGCTAAGCCACTGCTGTTTGTCGCTGGTAGGTTCAGATTGTTTTTAGATCAAAGTGCCTCTTGTTTGTGTTGGAACAAATGCTTTGATGCTCTGCTCCCCATGAAGAAACCTCAGTGTATCATGACTGTAGTTGCTTTGATTTAGAAAAAGAGGACAGTACTTATATCGGTGCTCAGGAAAAACTTCCCCTAGTAATTAAAAACATACACAAATGAAAAGAATAGGAAATTTCAAATAGTCCATTATTGCATAATTCCCTAGTGCAAAACCAACGAATATAATAGTGAAATTGAGAAGCTTTACAAATTCACTGGAAAGAAAACGAAAAGGAGAGAAAATACAAATTTCCAAGACATTTCCCCAAATGACACTTCCAAAATGAGGAAAAATCCTGTTTCAAAGGACATTTTTACACTGTAGTTTCTCCCCACATGGGTACAATGGCATGAACTGTGCTGGCAGAGATGGGGCTTCTTGTGTGTACACACTCACAACTTCGCCAGCCCATGTGGATAAGTGTGAACCCATGCGTGTGGCTGTTTTCTAACACAGCTTTGACTTAAGCCACAGCAGTAAGTACCCTTCTGCAAAAGAAGCCTGAATTGAATGAATCCTCCGTACAAAGGTCAGTAAACAGGAGAACTATTTTGGCTATTGGGGTGTTCTCAGGAATAGGCTATCCTCAATACTTTAAATTTTGCATTTCCCAGTTTCTTTTATGCAGAGCTCGTGTCTGTTGCCCCTGTGCCCTGGTCGCCATCTCACTGGACCATGGCACTGCAGTCTTGGGCTTGGAGAAGGCACAAGTGGTTTGTCACGTGCCAGGGCATGCTGCCTGCCCTGCGAGCTGGTGTCAACTGTGGGGTACCATGTCCACTCCCCTGCATGATGACCCTGGGCCACCACTAAAAGATGCAGTAGAAGTGCAAAAAAATCATCTCTGTTTTTGTTTCAAACCTATCCTGAGATGGTGCATGGGATGAGGGACCAGATACTCAGAGCTGCCCCAACTCCTGCATGAGCATGTCTTGATGGTCCTCTGCCCCTGTTGGTCTGACCCTCTAGCTGAGCTGTAAAATCCCCCCCAATATTTTCCTGTTTCCCTTCCCTTAGCTCCTAACCCACCTCCCCTGGTCACCATTCCTTGTGAAGCCCAAAGCACCACATTCTCCACCAACCAGACCCAGCCCAGTTAGCTCTATCTCCTTCCAGAGCCAAGGAAGGAGGTTTGGAGACTGTGGTCCTTGAGCCCATCTCTTAGTGTCACCCTGACTGCCTCCTCTGTTTCTTGTAGGTAAAGGTGAGTGCCCTCACTGCCCTCCTGCCACCTCTCTGAAGTTAGGGAAGATGGAGCTGTGGTAGAAGAGGGTATGGAGGGAGTGAGAAAATTCAGGAGCAAAACTGGGCAGGAGACATGGTAGTAATGACATCAACCCCAAAAGGCAATCTCACGTGGATGAGACAACTCAGACCAGTCAGTATGTGTCTGGAACTCCCTTAGGACCTGGATAAATTGCTCCTTGCTTGCATCCTCACCATGCAAGCAAGACCTGCTCAGCCACTGCTGGTGATGGTCTGGACCCCCCAGTGAACATGGAGGCAGGAACCTGCCCCAGGAAAGGGCCTTACCAGAAATATCCTCCCCTGGATCTGGCCACGTTCTGGCTATTTCAGCCTGCAACTTCCTACAGAAGGAGAGTATCACCTAATAATACCCAACTTTATATAATGCTTTTTTGTTTTACTACAAAGTGGCAAGAATCATTTTGCTGATAGGGAAAGTGTAAGGAGAGACACAAAGATAAGCCGTGTTGGAGCAAAGGGACCTTGCAGCTTTCCCAGCCGATACCCCATGTGCTTTCAGAGCTGACTTTTATTTTACATCTGCAATGTGTCAGCGCACGCGGCCAGACAGCTGTCATGCACGCTCACTCATGATCATGAGCCCTTGCTCCACGTACGAGTCATACCTCAAACTGTGTCTGAGGTCAATGGGCTTACTTTTGGCCGAGAGCAGGATGCAGTTTGGTTTTGATGTGTATGAGGCACGTGTGGTGGTTTCCACACAGAAGCACCAACCTCAGACCCCTGCCTGGGGGAGCAGAAGTTGCTTGGAGCCCATGGCTGGGTGGTCACACATCAGAGAGAGGCTGCAAGGGGTCACAGGTGGAATGCAGGAGGTGACATGCCAGGTTGGTGGCTCTGCCTGGGTTTCCCCCGTGGGGTGAGGCTGAACCCATGCAGTGCCAAGATGCAGAGATGTTTCTGCTCTTTTATGGTTCCAAGTTGTGGTTTAATTTTGTTAGTTTCTATATTTAATGTGTGGGTTTTTTATTGAATAAGGGGAGAGAGGGGGTCTGCAGAGCTCATGCATGAGCTTCTCTATCAACATGTCCCCGTGGGAGCATTTTGCTCTCCACTGTGTCTCCATGGGGTGGCCGTTTGCCCCCAGCTCCAGTGCCCCTGGGCAGAGCTCTGCCCTGTTTCCACTGAGGCTCATCCAGGCTTGAAACCTGCTGAGAGAGCCATCCTGAGGGATGCAGTCCCCATACTCACCCAAACCAGTGTCTTATCCCCTGGGGTTCTCTCCCCTTGTCCCTGGGTGCCAGTCTCCCAGGGGTGCTGGCCTGTCTGCTCACGTCCTCTTTGTCTCTGCAGAGGTGGAGTCAGACATCCTGCGCCGTGTCCGCACGCTGCTGCGGGAGCTGGATGGGCACCACCCCGCCTGCCAGTGCGACCGAGGTAAGATGGACCCCTGGCATGGCTCCTGGGGGTCAGCACCCGCTGGACCCCACGCTTCCTTGCTGGGGCATTGCTTGGCCCCAGACCCTCCACCGCTACCCTCTCTCAGTCAGTGCCAGGGTAAGGGGACACAGGGTGACCTCACTTCCATGGTGGTGCTCTGCCCTTTCTAACCTGCTCTCAGAGGTGCTAAATCTCTGGCAAGTTCCTGGTGTCTGCCATGCACCATCCTCAGCAGCTTTCATCTCTCCTCTGCATGGCTCTTACATCCTTGGCACCCTTCACTCACCCAGGGGGTCCAGCATTGAGGTGGGACATCAGATGCCAGTTTGTGATGCTGTTCCCAGCTCTGACACCAACTCACCACACAGCCCTGTCCAAGCCTCCCTGTCTCTCCCTGTGGGGATGTTGCTTTACCACGCACTGCTCAGCTCCTCGCTAGAGAGTCGGTTGAAATCCCTGTGTTACAGTTTTGGAGCATAAAACTTTATCTGACCCAGCAACTGAACTGCTACAGCTTTAGGAAATGTAATTAATTTTGAAAAATTAATTTTACCTGGAGCACATGGAATATTTTATAGTTAATTAAATTTGATTTTGTCTGGAATGAGCCTTGACATCTGCAGGACTGAGATGCTTTGTGGTTGTTGCTCTGAGTGTGTGCTTGTACCAGTAGGAACCCAAACCCCTCAGGGCAGGTGGTGAGAGCAGGCACTCATAAACAGGGTAACAGAGGGAACAGGACACAAACTTCATTGCCCTGCTTTGTTCTCCAGCCTCCCCAGTCCTAGGATCTCTAGGTCCTTTTGCCAAATGTTTCCCAGTATTAGAGGTGCAATACATCAATGCTGCATCCAGAATCAGGGCAGTGGCATACTTGTCCCTTGCAGAAGGTCAGTGATTGAAGCAAGGGCAGAGGAGCCTGGTTTAGCTCTGGTAGTGATATCAGTGCAGCATCCCAGTGGGTGATTTTTGCAGCAACAGTGCTCAGGTCTCCTGATTCCTCAATGAAACACTGCCCCTGATCCACTCCTGCTCTGCTTGGCAACCTGACCTCTTTCTTGGTTTTCACTTCTTAGGGATGCTGCGATGGACCCTGCATAAAAAAATCGACCAGAATCCCAGTAACAGTTCTGTCCTGGTCAGGATCCTGGTGAAGGAGCTGGAAAGGGTGAGTGCACCATATAGATGTTTCCTGAGTGCTGGGCTTGGCCTCTCTGTGGCATGTGTCCTGCTGTGGGGCCCAGGGGAGCAGAGGGATGGGGACTCAACTCCATCTCCAACAAGTGTTTTTAGAGGCCTTGAGCCTGTCTGGGGACTGTGGCTCATAGCAGAGAGTGAAAAACTCTGTGGCACACCAGGGCAGAGCTGTAACTCATCCCCAGCTGATGGCTTCAGGGACCAGGGTTTGCTCCGAAAGTGACGGTGAGCCATGAGCAGAGCAGGGAACTTCCCCCGGCTCCTTGATGCCGCGCAGCCAAAGGCATCTGGCCTTTACAGTTTGCAAATAACACAGTGAAAAACACTTCTGACCACCCCCAGAGCTCCCTCATCCCATCCCAGCCAGCTGTAGTCACAGGTAAAGTGGAAATTTCTCCTCTATGTCACTTATTTCTGCCCCAGAAGGTGTTAGAGCTGAAACATCTAACACAGTATCCTGTCCCAGAAGCATCTGATGGAAACTTTGCGGTGGATTTTTTGTTTCATTGATTTGTCTTGTAATTTTCTGGTCTCATGGAAAAATTCAGTACCCTCAGCATCCTGGCATGACCTGGTTTGTGGTTTGATGTGATGTCATGTGTAGAAGTAGCACCTTTTTTTTTTCTTACGAGCCTGCCTCATTTTACCCAGTGCCCTGTCATTCCGGTGTAGGGATCCACAGCCTATGTTCCCCCCTTCACCACCTCCTCCCCGCCCTGGTGATGAGTCCCTGCTAGTTGTCCTTTGTGCAGAAACCTCCCTGTACCATTTTCTCTACACCTTTGTTATTTCTCCTTCTGAGCTGGAAGGATGGAGCCACCGTGCTCGGCATTGCTCACTCCCGAGTCTCCAGCCAGCTGCTGCTCAGGCCGGGGGAGCCCAGCACCCTCTGCAGAGGCTGTCCCCTCCCTCTGACAACACCCCCTATCACACACTCTGCCCCCCAGCCCAGCCCAGACACCCGTGCACACATCACAGTGCTGTGAACATGGAGCAGCTATTCCTAATCTTTCTTTCCTGCCTTTTAAGCAGCTCTGAGGCTACTTGCAGGCTGTCTCTCTCAGATGTGGCAGTCATCGGTGCCTTGGGGAGGGATCTCATCAAGTAGCTTTTGCAAATCCAGACTGACAGGACACCCCCATGGCCCTTGGCTATGGATGCAGGGATTTCCCCCAGAGGGCTTGAGGTCTGCTTTCCTCTGCAAAAGCCATGTCAGTCCCTCCCCATTATACCTATTATTGCTCTGCTACTCTTATCTCTCCTTTCCCAGGAAGGGTGTCAGGCCTCCTGGTCTGTAATTCCCTTCACCTCCCTGGGGAAGTTTCCACATCACAGGAAATCAGCGTTACATTTAAATTTTTTTTCATTCCTCTGGTACTGCAGCAGCTCTGAGCAGTCTAACCACAGATAATAATTTAGCAATTTCATGTTTGAGATCCTCTGGGACCCTGGGCAAATATCAGCTGGTCTCAGCAATTCAGTATTATTCATTTTACTGATCATTTCTAGAGCTTTGCTGCCATCAGTTCCATTTAACTCATCCATCAGCACAGCAGCCCTGAAGAAAGGTGCTGGATATATCTCTGGGCTGGAAATATCTTTCCCAGGTTTATCCAGGAGCATTCCTGTTGCTGGAGTTGTTTGAGCCAGACCAGGCTGCAGGGAGGGGCCAAAACTGTGTCAGCTTGAGCATCCATCTGGCTTCCCACAGACCAGGATGGGGACACAAGAGCATCTCTCCTCCCTGTTCACTCTGGTCCACACCCACTGGCTTTTCCCAGAGGTTTTGTATTTCCACATGAGTTTTTGCAAAAGAAAGGAGCTCCTTAATGAGCTCAGTTAGAAACTTTTGCTCACCCTCTCCCACAGCTCTTGGTGTGCAAACCATGCTCTTGCAGCACCTCCTGGAGTTTTCACATCCCTACAGCAGCCTCCAGCCCTGTGGTGTAGCAGTGGCCATGTCAGCGTGGTCCATCCCCCACACCCCTCCCCAGGGCTTGGCTCACATGATATGCCCACCATGCAGGACCTGTCTGCTCCAGAGCCATCCTGCCCATCCTGATGGCCTGTGGAGGGATCCCAAACCCCACCTTGAGCCAGGTAGCATCACCCCTAAGACAGGGCGAATGCCTGTGCTCACCTTGTGTGTCTGAGCTGCTGAGAGGACAGAACCCTGCATATCCCGGGGGCTCCCGGGGCTCCCCTGGTGCTGGTCTCTGCTGCTGCCAGTGTTGCTGCCCATCCCAGCATCCTGCCAGGCCCTGCCTGTGCTGACTGTGCCTTTTGGTTCCACAGGCGGAGCGAGGTGACTTCAGACATTACATCATCCCTTTGCTGCACACGCTGATGTACACCTTGATAAAGGTAACCCACCATGGGCTTTGCTGGGGCAAGAGCCAGGGAAATCAGAAGCCACAGGAGGGGCCACCTCAAGTCACTCAGCACCCATTTCTGTGCTGAAACATCCCAGTACCTGCCCAGCAAAGTCCTGGGACTACCATGGGTGGACTCAACTGTGCATTTCCCAGTGTACTGTTTGATGGCTGAGTGGGAGTTACATGTCCTTCCAGGTGACCTCATTTTCTGGAGGTGTAGGAAGCCACAACCTGGCAAAACTTTGTGCCCACAGCCCTCCAGTGGGTATTCCTGGAGGCTTCCAAGCCATTGTAAGGCCCAATTCTGCTTAAATGTTGCATTTAAATCCCTATGAATTTGGTGTAGCTCTCTGCCCTTCCATCCTAGGGTCTGTTGTGGGGAGAGCACCGTTGTGGCATCTCCTTATCTGTCCCTTTCTTGCTCCAGGCTCCCTGCATCTCCGACGAGCTCTGTGGCAGAGTGTATGATTTCTGTAAGAAGCTGCTCACCCTGCCCAAGCCTTTCTGCACCATTGGTTTGGACTACGCCATCAGGCTGAAGATGGAAAGGACAGCACCGGGTATGAGGGCTTCCCCGCCCTGCTCGCGCATGGCATGGCAAATGGCTTAGGTCCTCGAGACAATGGTAGTGGGGATTTGGGGAATTTCCATACCTAAGCTGGTTTTGCCTAATGCACCAAGCCATGGCAGGGATTTCTGCAACAGGCTGGCCAAGTGCTTGAGGTCCTAGTGATGCGTTTGGATGGGAGGGGTCCCCTCTCCTGTTTTTAGGGTGCTGAGCCTTAGTTACAAGCAGAAAACTGTGGGGTTCTCCTGCTGTCAATTAGGTACCATAAGAGTCAAGTTCAGCCTATCTAAGGCTGGGTATATATATACCTTCTGTCTATATGGGAAACAGGGTGCTTATGCTCCCAGCCTGGACATCTCAGTTATGGAGGTTTCCTTTTTGTAAAGTGAAATATCCATCTGAGATTGAGTTGCAGGTTGTCCAGCATGGGCTCTCAGGTTTTAGACACTAAAACATCATTTGTTTCTGCAGAGAACAGACCCTTTTAGAAAGCAAGCCAGAGTATGACTCTACTTTCCTTTTTCCCTAAGTTGCTCATTAAAGTTCTTCTTGTTAAAGTTTTCTTGTAAAAGTCTTTAAAAGCAATCCTTTAAAACAGTGTAAGGTGCAGACACCTTGTGAGGTGAAGGTAAAATATGAGAAACCTGGTGGGAAATTCAAGAGAAAGTGCCATCCTTGGTAGTCTCAGCCCATCACTATCACCCCAACCACTCTATCTGGAGTTCCAAGGTCCACCTTTATCTCGCCTGACATCTGGTAAAAGAATGATTCAGTGTGGAGAGATGGGGATCTCCAGCGGGCTTCTATCTGAGAACCACAAGGTTCACAAGATGACAGCACCTGAGCAATGCGGGGTGGATGTATCTTTCCCACCCCAGAGCTGGGTGAGGGTAAAGTACATCTCTCCTGATTCAGAAGCCCGTTGTGCTCTTCATATCCATCCAAATGCTGTCCCCGAAGGGTCCCTGGAGATGGAGGCGGGGAGTAGGGCTCTTCCTCCTGCTTCCGACTCCGTTCCCAAGCTCATAATCCACTAAACAAAGGAAGGGAAATACAGGAAATAGTCCCTGAATAGAAGGGGTTTTCTTTTCATGTAGCATGGTCTATCTTTGTCCTTGACTATTTTTAACTCTGGGCCGGGCTCTTAGCTCTTTCACATCATCTCTCCAGCAATGGATGTTCGCCAGTTTGGCAGATCCACCATCAGCCTCTACAACCAGGAGCAGCGCGGAGTTGCTCTGGTAAATTGTGTTATTTCTCATGCTCTGACTCCTGCGTGTTTATCTTGCATTTGCTAGGTATGTTGTACCAAAGAATGGTCATTTCCGAGCAAAGTCTCAAAAGCGATCCTTACCCTTATCAGGAAAAGTGAGTAGCGCCTCTTTGAATGTGTTGTTACTTTCATTTCTTTTAGAGTCTCATACTGAAATCTTTCCTTTTCCTGCACTCTGAATTCATGTCAGATGGAACAGACAATTTGGCCATAAACCACGTGGCAGCACGTGGTCTTCAGGGACAGAATTTTGTGGCATCCAATGCCTTGCTAAAATGAGCTTTGCACTGCGAGAAGCACATTCGTTCCATATGTCCCAATTTATTTCTGTGGTCCCGGGGGGCAGGGAGCTTTCCTTGGGGGGAGACAAGGCAGAGAAGGGGAATGTCAGTAGCAATCCTTTTTCTCTGCATGGGATAATGGAGACGTGAGCTGCTCGGGCCAGCCCTGATGTCAGTAACGGGAAGTCCTCATCTCATCTCCCTCTTTTGCCACCCTCCTTCCCCATGCAGGATTTTCATCTTTGCTGATCCAGAGCTGCTCTCTGAAGCCATCTGCAATGCGCTGGTCACCGACATGGAGGCAGCTCAGGTCTCCCAGAGCCCTCGGGCTTGCATGTCCTACGTGATCATCCACGCCATGCAGGCAGCCCTGGGCGAGGGCTGTGACATCAGCAGCTTGAAGGCAAGCCTCCAGGTAACTGGCAGCACCACTGCAGAACCACATATGGTTTTCCAATGGTCCTGCTCTTGCCGGGCACCTCGGAGCAGGGGAAGGTTTTTTGGCAAGTGGAGAGAATCCCCCCCTGGCTACTCACTGCTGGTCTCCATCCCCAGTAGCCCCAGGGTCACTTGCAAGGCTGGGCTATGAGCAGACCTGGTGTTAACCTAAAAATTCTTCAAATATAAGAGTTGATGCAGCAGGAATCACAGATTTTGAATGTTCAGTCTGAGTCTTCAGTTTTGCAGGGCAAAGCTGAGCTCTGGGGCTGAAATGTAGGCTCCTCTGTGAACCGCTGCTCTGGCAAAAACATCTCAGTGGAAAAGTTTCAACCAATTTTTTTCAAAACCTCCTTCAAGGAGCTGTGGGGCCACAGTAAGACAGGTGTCTGGTTCAGAATGGCAACTTCACAGAGGGTCTCAGAAATTTCCACTCCAAAGACACCTTTGAGTGTCGGCTATCCCCATCTCCCAAGGGTCACTTGAGCTGCCAGCCCTGTTGCTGACTCCCCGAGCTTGCGGCAGCCAGGAGCACAGCACCCATCAGCTGCAAAATGGCCAGCAAAAATCTTTAAGCAGACAGTGCAGGTGGCATCTCTCCTCCTCTAGCCTTTCCTGGAGACAGGAGGACATTTGTGTCCTCTGCTGTGACACAACTTTTGCAGGACTCATTTGCCCTCTTTCTGCCCCCCTCCCATGGCCCTGCCTGTGAAGCATCTCCTCTTTTTCCACCTCAAGGTGTTAATATCTGTTCCTTGACAGGATATGGCCACCAGTGATGTCGAGCACTGGTTCCGGCAAGTGGTGGCAGCAGTTGAGTGTGCAGGAAATGAGGCGAGCGCAGACCGCGGCCGGCACGCAGAGAGGCTGGAGAAGATTTACCATACTGTCCTCAGCTCCTTGCAAGCAGGTGAGCTCCTGGCCAGCCATGCACAGGGTGTTAAGAGACGTGGCATTTGGCAGTCCCCTGCCTCACTGCTGTGTCCTCACCATTGCCCGTCCACCTCCACTTAGGCAGCATCCATCACCGGGACCAGGGCATTGCAGCCTGGCTTCTTGCAGTGACCTGATGTCCAAGATGGCAAACTGCATGTGGCAGTGGAAGGCAGATTTGTCACCTGAGGAAAGGAACTGTGTTCATCTCTGCTGCTAATTCAGCTGTCCTGAGGCCCAGAGACATGCCTCCATCATTTGCAAAGGGTGCCACAGAGAGGGACCCTAGGGGAGGCTGGACAGACTCTCTGGTGCTCTGCTGGTGTAAGATACATCCTGCCATGGCCCAGACTGGAGAGACACTGTGCACCACTCCCTGAAACTTCCTTGTACTGATGTGGTGGATGGTGGTACTGCCCCCTCCCTCCATTCCTGGAAGTGCTCTGTTGCAGCTGGGTGCTGCTGGGGCTACATGGACTATAACAAACATCCCCATCCACCACAGCTCCTCACACAAATCTGGGGTAAACCAGAGGGAAATGGGGGTCAAGCTTCCCTCTTCCTGGCTACTCCTGGTGGAAGGTCCCTGAATCCCAACTCTCTCCCCAGAAAGAGGTGGAGACTGTCCAGTGCAAGATATGGGGGGAACAACCAGTGGTGCAGGGAGAGGAGTGGGACCATCCCCTTTTGGTGGCAGTGAGCTATTAAATTGTCTCACTGCTTCTCACAGAGCCATAATGGGTTAAAAATAGCCAGTGATGGTGTGGTCAGAGGGGTCCTTTGCATGTTGGCTGAGATCACCAAGGGAGATCCTGCCACATGCATTGGAGGCCCAGTGATTTATTTATTCTGCAATCCCTCTGCTGTCTGCAGCAAAGCAAAATCCTTCACTTGCCCATGCCTCAGTTTCCCTGTATTAATTTCTCTCTTCCACCGACAGTGTAATTACCTTCTTATGGCTCAATTTGTGAGAGCAGAGGTCTGTGATCACAGCCTCATTTCTGGCCAGAAGGCATCCAGGGTGGAAGAGCCCTTGGGGCTCAGCATGGGCGATCTCAGCCAGTATCTGAAGCACAGCACCAGTGGGGGCTGAGGCACTTGTGTGGGAAAATTGTTCCTGTGTTTTACAAGGATCCTTGTTTCCCCCAGGTGATGCTCCTGTGGAAGGGCTGCAGGGTACCCCTCTGCCCAACCCCAACATCAGCTTTCACCTCTGGACAGAGGATGACCAGCTCTGTGAGTGCCCTGGGGGCAGGGGGGCTGTGGCGAGTTCGGATGGTGCCTGAGGCTGGGAAGCCTGTGCAAAACATGTCATTTAGCCCTTATTCTTCAGCAGTGAGTTTCATCACCACCACACAAGGGCCAAGCTTGTGAAGGCTTGCGCTGACTGCACCAGCCTTCCTTCTTATGGGGTGTCAGAGTCAGCTGGGGGGATTATGCAGGGAGAGGTGTGAAGGAGATGAGGAGAGGACCCCTGTGGGACAGGCTGCAGCAGAATGTGCCCAAAGTACCTGATCAGAGCGATACTGAGCTTTCCTCATGGTGTAATGTAAAATGGGACTGAAAGGCTGACTCCTCTTGGACCTGCTGGTGGAGGTATTGGCCTTATGGTTAGCATGAGAAGAGGGGAGCCAGGGCAGGACTAGGGCTCAGCCTGGCTTTGGTTGTGTTTCCCTCCTTGAGCTCCCTTCTGCCCGCAGGGAAGGAATTGGTGCTGTTCATCCGCCCGCTGTCTCAGAGCTGCGAGCCCGACTGCCTAAGCCAGGACCTGGACAACTTTGAGATCCAGGACATCATTTCAGACTGCGAGTGCTGCGAGCAGACCCGCTTCTCCGTGCTCTCCACTGACAGTGGCATTGAACGAGACCTGCCTGTGGCAGCTGAGGACTCCTATGCCCCTTGCAGCGCTGAAATGGAGCAATCCCGACTCCACAGGAAGGGTGGCATTAAAAAAAAACTTTCACCACTGGAAAGTGTCGCCTTCCTGCAGGCTGGCTGCAACGGTCCAGGGGCGAAGTCCCCGGCAAAGCTGCACAGGAGACCAGGCATCCCCCCGGAGGCTGCAGGCCCGCTCCAGAGGCTGCACACTGCCCGCATCGTGCTGCTGGGGGACGACCGGATCCTGGGGCGCCTGGCCCAAGCCTACCACTCTTTGAGGTAACCAGTGGCCACAGCCTCTTTGGCTCTGGGGGCTTGAGGGAAGGGAGGATGGAGTGGGGGCTTTGCTCTTCAGCCAGCTGAAGCAGCCAAGATGGCTGAGGACTGGTTTGGGCTCCAGCGTTACCTGGGACAGGATGGGACCCAGGTGTTTTGCACCCAAATGCATCTGACTTCTCTGGCTGCATGGCATTGTTCAGCTCTGTTGGCCCACATGATGCATGCAGTGAGTTTTTCCCTTCTGTCCATGGAATGGGTTAAATGAACAATGAATGAGGCAAGACATTTTCCTATGCAAAAGGGAAAAATCCTAAAGAAAAATTCTTCCCAGCTGGTTCACCTAGCCAGGAGAGCAGCCTGAAGTGGGTCTGGGTCACGATGCAGGCAGCAGCCTGGGGAACAGAGCTGGGTGCATACTGGACCACCGGTCTCAGCCAAGAGCCTGTCTGCAGGATGCCCCTTACCCTCATCATCTCCCCTCTCTCAGTTTGGGAACCTGGGGGCATTACTGCCATCCTGTCACACGGGGCAAAGGAGGCGTGTGAGGAGGGCACGTGCTGCCATTGCAGAGCAGCTGCAGTCTCCTGGCACTGCCCAGCCTTGGCCAAGAGCCATGTTCTTCCACCTTCCCCTTGTGACACAGCTATTTATTTTTCCATTTCAAGGAAACGAGAAACGCGTCGAGTTTTCCTGACTCCCAGGCTGAACCTGCAGTTCTACTACATCCCGGTTGTGACGGAGCAGCCAAACACCTTGGCAGTTACAGTGAGTCTGGGCTCCACAGCTCTGGGTACTGTTGCCGGCTGCCAGCAACTGATGGTGGTTTTGGAGGAAGAACAGGAGGGTTTACAGGAATTCACATCCATTAATGCCTTGTTCCTAGAACAAGGAGGATGGGAGCCAAGACAGGGCAACTGGGCTCAGTCTGCACACTGGCTTCAGGAATCCATCGGCCCCAAAGACACTCAGGTTGCTCCAACCACCCTGACAGGTGATAACTCACAGCTTAGAACTGCTGTTCAGTTTTGCTTCTATAGGAAGATCGAGGGAGTTTTAGCAAAGGATTGATGCTTTTCTTCCCTCCCAAATGCTTAGGGGAAGTGGTCGCCTTTTACTGAGGTCTTTGCCCGCTTGGTTGTGGCCCCAGTTTAGTTCTGCAAGTCTTGCACTTTGTCTTGGGCATATCTCTTCCCCCCCGACAGCCTCAAGACAGTGACAAACAAACAGCTGCACTTCTCACAATATTTTAGGCTGGCCCAGAGCTGGCTGTGCGCCCTGACAAATGTGCCATTATAAAAATGATTATTTCTTCTTTTTATTCTTTCTTGAGCACCTGGTAAACAACTGGTGCAATAAATGCTTTGCCATCTTCTCTGGACCAAGCAGGGAAGGGGGAGGAATGGAGGAACCATTCATACCTCAGCTCCCTCTGCCTCCTCTGCGGCTCCTGGTATTTTGAACCATGATCATGCTCTGAGCTGTGTGTTTCTCCCGCAGGACCATGCTGCCACTGACCAAGAGGAGCTCTGCGAGGTGGCCGGGTACCTGGGCAGAGCCGACCCATGGTACAAGAGCAACATCAACACGCTGTGCCACATGATTCCCAAGCTGGCCACCATGGTATGAGGGGAACCTTCCCACCTCCCCAGCCTGGCCCATTTCCCAAACACATCTGCCGTACCTGAGGCTCAGGCCTTGCAGGACTCCTCCATGCCCCAGATAGAGGCTTTCTGCCCCAGGGCCCAGCAGCTGGGAAGGTGCATGTGGCTGACACTACCCCAGCCCACAAGACACATTTGCTTTGATGGTTTTTTTGGCCAAGGGACAGGAAGTGGCAGATTGTAAGAAAGAAAATGTAAATGAAGCATTTGCTGAAATACCCCCAGCTCCTTTCCTGGCACTTTGAGCCACCATCGATAGCCTACGGAAAAGGCTGGTATGTGGGTGCAAGCCTTCACTTCTCCCATTCACTTTGACTAGTTATGGCAAAGCAGCTCAGTGCTGCCCTGGGTGACAGCTCATTGCTCATTATTTATCTAGGAAGGCGTGAGGGTTTGTGGCAGTATTTTTGAGAAGTGACTGTGGCTGATCTGTAATGTGATTTGCCTCCCCAGCCTTCCTCTCCCAGCAAACATCTTGTGACTGACCTGTTCATCACTGACGTGATCGCTTACTACGTTCGCATGGGCATCCAGCCTGTCTGCTTCCAGGTCTACGCTGTGAAGGTGGGTGCCACATCTCTCGTGCCTTAACGTGGCCCTGCAAGGGCTTGCAGAGCCCCGCTGCTGGCAGAGCCGTGGGAAGTCAGTGGGGTCTGGGGCTTTCCGCAGGTCTGAGCCCGGATCTCTGTGCTCTCCAGCCTGTCCCCTCCTTGTCAGGCTCCCAGATCTAGCGATTCTATGTAGCACAGCTCAGCCGGGGTCAGTGATCCCAGGAAGGTTATTTCAGGATCACATAGGTCAGCAAAGTGAGCTATGAAATTACCTCGTGAGGATACAGATCTCCTGCTCCAACTGGATTGGTGTTTGCTCAGGAGCTCTGGCACCTCCTGCTGCTTTAGGTGTTATGAGCAAAGAGGAGTTTTCTGAGTGGCTTTGCCAAAACTTTCCTGTACTTTGCAGGGGCTTTGCAGGACTTCCTGAAACATCATTTTATTTATTTCCTGCCAGCTTTTCTCTGAAATGGTATCAGAGTGAGACCTGGCATTTGATATGAGAGTAAAGAACTACTGTATTTAGTCACGTAACATCAACCCCCCCCATCTGCTTCTCTGGCAGTTTGCCCCCTTCAAAGCTTAGGGTGGCACTGATGCACATACCTCCTTTTAATCTACCCGTAGCCAATGTGGTAACCTATTGCAGCAAAGGAGCAGCCATTACATGAGCAAACCATGGCCTGCAAGGAGCTGGAAGAGCTTTGGTAATCACTAGTAGAGCATAACCAGGACTTCAACTAATAACATGTAGCTTGTAAAGACTTGAAGCACCTGGTCCTCAGCTTGTGTGGCTGGGGATTTTGATTTTTTGGTAAATTTTTATTCCACTCATTTCTCCTCCAAGACAAAAATCAAAAGCAAACGAGAGAGTGGGTGACTCAAGCAGGGTAAGAGGAACTGACTCCAGATGTGGTTTTCAGATAGAGGCACCTAGCCTACACTGTTGTCATACAGGGTGTGATGTTGCTTCATCTGGAAACACTAAGCCTGTTTTGCCTTTTTGGTTAAGACCACACTGTTCCTCTTTGGTTGCAGACAGGTTTCCTGGAAGTGAGGATCAAGTCCCACAGAAGTTGGACATAGGGCTAGGAGTAGCTAGCAGAGGTACTCCAAGATCTTTTCTTCAAAACAAGCCCATGAAAAGGAAGTAATTAATAGGTTTGAAGTGAGTAGTTGATTTAGGTGTATCAGACAGAAATGAAGTGCCTCGAAGCTAAGGGAAGCTGCTCCCCTTGACCTGGGTTGCCTGTGGGTGGTGGCTGGGAGCAGACTGATGTGTGGGGGCGCAGTGACACCCAGTGGCAGGGGACACTGCCCGTGGCTCTGCTGGCCGCGTCCACCAGCCTCCTGGCAAGGCTCGCCACACTCCCGGGCTTCTGAAAGAGAAAAAGCAGTTCTCCATCCCATAGGCTCTCTGGCTGCCACGATGAGGTCAGAGATTTCCTTTGAGAATGTCACACCCGGATGCTCTGGGAGAACCTTTTGATGTCACAAGCCCAGCGTGATGTCGCAGGGTGACTGAGGAGGAGCTGATCTTAGAGATTTTCCTCTCTTTCAGATCTTCTTCAATGACCCGGCGCAGGAGCCAGCCGAGGATGTGTTCCTCACGGAGATGCGCACCCAGGTGCAGGAGAGCATCTCCTACAGAGGTGTGTGCGTCCCCCCATGTAGAGTCCTGCAGCAGGGGCTGCCACCCCAAGCAGGGCTCCTGGCAGCCCCACTTCCCATTTGCCCCATCCCTCAGCCTTCAGCGTTCAAGGCCATGCCATGGGGCAATATCCCTTGTTCCTTGATGAGCAGGAGACTTCCCTAAATGTCTCCATCTGCCTCTCAGGAGCATTACACCAGGCTAAATGAGAGACACCTTGTGGTCCCTGGCTCCTGGTCTCAACCAGGTTTTGTAGATTGTGCCTTTGGTTGGCTCCAGGACCCTTTGAAGTTGGATCAGTTTTGTTGAGGAAACAAGCTGGGCTTTACAGCCATTCCGTTTGCCAGATGTATTCCCTGTCAGAAATTCAGCTTCTGCCAGTGATGGGACAAGGGTGCTTGAAGGCTGGACCATTACAGAGATCACATCCCGCCCTTCCATCATGACACCCTGGTGTCTGATCCAATGGATGTTTCCCATTGTGGTTGGGCACAGACCCTCGAGTGAGTCCATCTCGCTGGACCTATTGAGTGCACAGACCCTCATCTCCCGTAGGCAAGGAGAGAAGGGCCAGGCTGCCAGACCACAGCTGCTGTGTGACAGTGGGGGTGGTTCTCATCCCATGGGAAGATCCCTCTCTGCTGAACACAAACAGGTGGGATGAGTGAAACCTCAATCCTACCTGGTTGCCTCCTTGCAGAGTTAAGCATGACCAAGAAGAAAACGACCCTGGATGGCCCTGGCATAGATCTCACAGTAACATACAGAAAGGTAAGTGGGGCTCTCGGCAGCCCAAAATGTCTCTGCTCAGAGGGATCCCCAGCATGGCACAGATCTCTTAAAAGGAGTGCGATAGAAGCCTGTTATCTAACCTTTCATTTGTGAAAAACTGCCCCCAGACCTCTCCATGTCTGACCTCTCTGCCAGGGTGAATTAACAGAGCCTTTCCTGCAGGTTGTGGTGAGCAACCGGGCGAAGGACCTGGCTATGCCCCTGCGCTCCACAGGTCTGGTGATGAAAGCCATCCCTGCCAATGAGGCTGAAGGTGGGTTCTTCCTGCTTGGACCCATGTGAAGAGGGTTTGCTGCATTTTTTGGTGCTCGATAGAGCAAATCTGACCATGGTGCTTAATACCAATTGTGCCTGGGCTGTGGGTGTTGAATCAGTGACAGGCATATATTGGAGTCACCAAGTCGGCGGTTGTGCATTTTCTCATGAATCTCGTGCCTGGGGCTCCCTGTAATGTAGAGTTCAGCATAACCATAATCTAGCATCTTCCTCTTGCTGCAGCCTTCCTTTTTCACCTTGCCCTTAGCACACCCTCTGAAGTTTCCACCAGGAGCATGATCCCATCCAAACCCTTAACCCACGGAGCTTGCTAGAGTCCTCCTTTTCTGCTGCCCTATGTATCCCACGCATCTCTGGCAGTACACCCAAATGTGGGATCTGGCACCAGCCCCACTCAAAGCTGAGCCGAGATAGTGCCAGGCTAACATGCTGTTTCTGTTGCAGACCTGATGTGTCTGAATGTGAACATCACTGAAATCATTAGGATCAACAACTTGTCAGGACGATCATTCTCAGTAAGTAGCTGTGGATGCTCATGGCCCTGGAGGGGTCAGCCAGTGCGTGAAAATCCCTTATGACAATAGTGAAAGGAGAAACACTGTGGGGAGGAGAAGGCTTTAGAGCTACCCTGCTCAGAGAGTGTTTTGCAATTACTTTCCATGAAAAAGTCTAGATTTTTGAGCCAAAGCTCCAAATGACATCCCTGCTGGTCAATCCCACACTGAATCTTGTCTCAGGAGACCGTGAAGGACTGAGCTGCTGCTTCTGTGAGCCCAGGGACAAGGTAGAGAAATAAAGCTTAGCTCCAGTCATCATGGCTCCACTTGGATACAGGAGAGGGGCTGTAGTTTTGCAATCAACTACATTAGCTCTACACCTCCAGCTGCAGTGCCCTCCCCAGACCCCATGTGTTAATCCCCACAGAGCTCATGAGAATAGAGGCCATGGGAGAAATATTTTAACAAATCATAAACAAGCAGCAGGAACTTCAATGAATCTAATTACCAACTCAGAAAGATGGATATTCAAGAGATGAGACTGAAAACTTGGGCTCCTGTCCTTTTCATTTTACATGTAAACTTTTGTTCCAGTAGAGCCCAGAGGACATGCTGCCCGATGGGAATGTGTCACTACAGTTTGGGTGGCACTAAGTAGTGTTGCACCTTGGTCATTTGGGTCCTGAAGCCTCCAGTCTCTCACCTGGTATTTTTAGCTAGGTAGCATATTTTTTCTTATTTTCACCTGGCTTTTGGAAACACCGAGGTGCTGCAACCCAAGCTGCGCACCAAGATACATCACAGCCCTGGAGAACAGACCATGCCTCATAAGGCATCCCAAACCTTGCAACCTGTGCAAGCATTGCTGGTTTGGAAAGTTTGCCCTTGACAAATATGACCAGGTTGCGATTGCAGGAAGAGGACAAGAGAGACACTTCCCTCCTTGAAGAAGTCCCCTTGTGTCATATCTGAGGTTTAAAAAAAAAAAAAAGAGAAATGTCATAATTTGTCCCTTTCATACCCAGTATGCACACATCACTCATCACCGTGCAGCCAAGAGGAGGGAGGTGAGATGCTCACTGGGCTCTTCCTCCTCTCTCAATCCAGGCTGTGGCAAACAAGTTGAAAACACGCAATATCAAAATCAGGAGCACAGAACAGAGGCCCTTCACAGTGTGTCTGGACAAGGACAGCAGAAGAGCCTACAGGAATGTGATCAGGTGAGAATGACACGTGCCAGGCTCTGCACATCTTGCCGGTGAACTTTCATCCCTCCCTGGAAGGGCTCCCAGGGTGGCAGAGCTGTTTCCCAGGGAGTCCCAGTCCTGAGCCTCATAGATGACAAAACGCTCACAGGTAAATACATTGCTCCTCCAGGAGAAGCAGGGTGGAGTGATGCTCTCCCACCTCTGTCATTTTGGGTGATGGTGTGAGAAACAAACGATTCTTCCATTTCAAGTGAGGTGCTGTCATTAAGACAGGAGAAGGATAGGTACCTCCAGGGACAAACAGATCTTAGGTGTCCTTAATTATATTGTGGAGCTGCTGCTCTTTCCACTGACTGCATTCCTCACCCGGGTATCTCAAACATATGAAGGTAGGGTGAGAGAATTCAGCCTATGAATGTAGAAGGGATCAATGTGACTCTAGTAGTTGTGACAAACAGTGTGTTGGAAGCAAACAGTGAGGTGGTTCAAGGCCCATGGGCCATGTGGAACATACATAAAATGTGAATTTCTGAGAATTGAACTGAGCCAGGCTAAGGACACTTATGGTCAAATGCTAATACACATCAGCCAAAGGTTTCCAGCCAAAACCACTTGAAAAGGCATAAAAGCACTTGTACATCTCCACATGACAGCCTTCCCTCAGCAGTCAGTGGAGAGACCTGATGTTTAACCTGAAATCAGATTCTGGCCCTCAAGGGCAGATTTGCACATGCAGTAAATACGTTTTTGTGTTTTTGCAGTGTGGAAGTGTCTCCTTGCCTAGAGCCCAGCTACTGCCTGCAAAAGACAAGGACAATGAAATTCAACCTGCATGAAACAGAAGATGTGGGGCTTGTGAAATACATGCCCAAGTCTCTGCTGTTGCCTATCAACACATTTGCAGGTGTCATCCAATGAAGAAAAGGAGAAAAAAGCTGGTGTGAGAGATGTGACATTGTGTCATCACAGAGTAGCTGAAAAAAGAAAGCACACTAAAAGCCACCAACACTGATTTTACAACAGTAGTGGTGTAAAAAGCTGCAACAGCAGAGATGGGTAGGGCTCAGGGAGGACAGCTGTGCACTGCTGAATGACAGCGATGGCCACAGCTAACACCCCTGCCAAGGGGCAGAGGTTGTTGAAGAACTGAATTTTAACGTTTTGCGCAAGTCAGGGAAAACCTTTGAGCTTCTTTGTTTCAGGAAAATGGGAAAATACAGCTGAGGTGATGGTGCTTGCTGTGCTTGTGGATCATAGACCAGTTGCTACCAGTAACATTTCTGATGGTGATGTCTCACAGCCCAGCAGGGGATCGGGGCTGGTTGCGCAGGGTTCTGCACAGCAAACCATTCTGGCACAGAGTGATGTATTTGGGCAAACCAGCAATTATTCGCCTGTCTGATTTAGGAAACCTCACTGTAAGCCTGACCACAGCTGGGAGAGTGTGTGTGTTTAATGCAGCTTCTGGGGAAGTCAGTGGAGAACCTGCTGTTGTTTCAAAGGGGCCACACAAAGCAACAATGAGTGGTGGGAACCAGGGACTTGGGAAATGTAGATCAATATTTAGCAGTGGTGAACAGGCCTAGGCAGCACTGTGGGATATGCTCAGCTGTGAGTGGTATAGATCTGCTTGAAGGAGAAACCTTCACTGAGCAGACAATGGAGGCTGCACAACAGCTCTGGGCTATCTGAGCTGTACCTTGGAGTCCACCTGGGATTTCACTGCAGCTTTGCTACACAACCTCTCTGCATCTGGTCTGGAGCCTCACAAGCAGCAGTTGCGTTCCTCCAGTTGTACACCCCAGGGACAACCACCTACAACCCCAGCAGCAGTGGAGCTCCTCCACCAGGTCAGCCAGCAATACCTCTGGACCCAGTCTGCCTCGCAGTCCTGGTTTGGTCTGTGCCTGCTGTGTGGGTAAGAGGTGTAGGAGAGCGGAGTGCTGCTCCTGGGACTGATGGATGGGCAGGATGCCTGCAAGACTCCTCCGTTCCTTTCATCTGCTGCTACCATGATGTGGAAGCCCTCCCCTGGTTTGCAGATGGGCCAGGCTGAGCTCCTGCTTCCACCCAGGCTCAGACTAGCGTGGTGTTAAGAATGATCATGTAGGAGGACCCTATCTTCATTCCAGTTTTTGGCTGACTGAAATAATGGAAAAAAGAGTGTGTATTTATTGACTTTCTGAATGTGATCTGTGGTTTCTGGAGTGTCTCCGGGGAGTCTCCCACAAATTCATGTTGGAGGGGATTTGGGGGAATTCCTTCTATGACACTAGAGTTTTTTTCATTCTCTTGGCTCCCAGATAACTTGTTAGCTGGGCTGCCTTCACTCAGGGGTGCTTGCTTGGATCAGCAGCCCAAAGAAAGTGTCCTTTAGCTTTGTGTGTGTGCGTAACAGCTACTCCCAGTCATCTCTGGCTGTCACTGATGGGGAGTCCCTGGAGCCAGCTCTATGCTACAGGGTGGTGCTGACCCAACTGCAGAGGCACTGGCAAACCCCTGTGTTAGCCCCAGTGGCTGAGGACAAATCTCCCCACTCTGTTCTGTTTGTGCTGGGTCTGCCCAGCCCTGGGGAGCTGCACCCTGGGAGGTCATTTCTGTTTAACCACCCGCAGCTGGAACAAGGACTCCACCCCCAGGTATCCCAGACTGGGGTACTGGAGAGGAGTTTCCCCTCTGCAGAACTGCTCGGAGTTTGTGGGTTGTCTTGGCTGGTTAGGCCCTGTGGAAATCTTCCTTGCATTTCTTGCCACGTGCACAAGGCTTTAGAGGTTCAACCCTCAGACTTCCATGGTCCCTCTCTTTGCCAAGCACAGTGCTGCCGTGTTCCTGCTTCCTTTTCCCAAGATAAAGGTTTGTTCACTCCCACCATGGCAGTCTGAAACAACCGCTGAAATACACTACTGGGGGCACAGCACCTCTAGAGCTGTCGGCAGGTGATGGGTTACTGAGCAGTGTAAAAACGCCTCCAGGTCTCAAGAAATATTTATTCCCAAACCAGCACCAACAATTGAAAGATCATGTTGGGCAACAGCAACATGACCATTTCCTAAGGAAGCCACCTTGAAATGCTGGCAGATGTAGCCTCTCGCTCCCAGCTGAGCCAAGCACAGTCCCCAAGCCTTAACGTGTGTCGTCCCCCCCCCCCCC